TGAAGGTATTGGATTGTACAACTCGTTTGTGCAAAAATCTAAATGCCTGGCAGCACACCGGGATGCGGTAGTACACCTTGTCTGTTTTGAGCTTTGTAAATCTTTGTTTGTGGTTATCGTATGGTTGGGTGCTGTAGTGTGGGTTAGTAAGAATGACATTGTGGTAACTATACGCAAGGTAATCTAAACTATTTCAACACGGGGCAACAAAAAAGCAAAAGAATGAAGTACTTTGCCTCGAACCTTGCTTTCTATATGTGCAGTTTCTGTCTAAATTAAAGACGTGCATTAGGTTCTCGCATTGTCTTTTGAAATTTAACTGGTTATTAGAAGGTAGACTTCATATAATCAAGAGAAGGTGGACATGAACACATTGTAAATACAGACGCATTTTTGAGTGCGATATTTCTTGGAGTTGAGGAAACATAATACCCAATCATTCCACAGATGAACAACATTTTTTATTAAATCACCCAAATATGTACTCGTAAATTAATAATACCCTGACAAACAAATAAGGAGCTAGTTGATAACAATAATACTTCTACGGTCCATAGCATATTTAATTGTAACCTAGGCTTTAGATGTGCATTTTTTTTTAGGTGTCTCCATCACTTTCTCCATCGAGGTGTATGAAGTGCTTCCTTTTCTTTATCAGCCTTCTTGCATAAACTCTTGTGTTGCCATTGGAAGTCCCTTCCCCGTCGTCCAGATTTTCTTCTGAGTTGTTTGTGTGAGAACCTCCTGCCTTTTGCACATGTGAGTTCTGCATCGCTTCCATTTTGAGTTTTTCCTGTAGTTTAAAATGCATATTTAGCATTAAAGGGGATGTAAGTTGGACGGTTAGCTTTGGAGATCAATGATGAATGAATAAAAAATATATGTATTAAACTGTGACTGATAACATTACCTTTTTTTCTTTGTTAATGCGGTGTTGCAATTCCAATTCTTCATCTGGCACAAACACTTTTGTAACCGTATAATTTTCCAGCCCCTCTTTAAAATTGAAGTTGGTCAATTTAAGCTTGAATACAAAATCCTTGCCGCAGCGGCTCTCAATTAGCGATGGAACATGCGTATCACCTTTGGACATTCGATTTACCAACTTAGAAGCCGAGGTATCGAGCAACTTTTCCGCAACCCCATTGAAAAGAACCAAAGTTGTCTTCCCTCCGTTGTCTTTTACCTTAATGTGTATCTTGTACCTGTGTGTGACCATAAATAATTAGTGTTTGAATAAAAGTACGCATGTGGTAGATTGTTAACTGTTTCTATACCTAACCAACGGGAAGTCACATTCTTTTCCGCACTTATTGCAGGTGTAGACGCCATCTTTAGGTTCTATTTTTTTGTTGCATAAGTTGCATGATATGTAGTGCCAACCAAAGTAGGTATCTATTTGACTTATCTGAGCACGCAATGTAACAAAAAATTCCTTGTAATTGAAAAGAAATTAGTTCAATATGCAGTCAAAGCCTGTTGATCTAATGTATTGTTCATAAGGTACGAAGGTTGCTTAACGTACTAACCTCTATGTCATAACTCCAGTCCGAATCCAACAACTCAGTAATAGTCATCTGATTCTGGAACATTGCCTCCGCAATAGGTATGTTACTTCCATTACCACTGTCAATTGTTTGTATGTGAACGGGTTTGGTTGCAAACTTTTGATTCAATGAGGTGATGTGGTCCATTTGAAGATTCACATACGTTTTGGTTGCTGCTGTGGTGACAAAAGTAATTTCACCTGTTACAAAATAAGCTTTATACGTCACGTTAACCTAATGACGTTAAAATTGCACTTAACTATATGCTCTGTAATAGTATTTACCTCTGAATTCCTTCACCGTTGTTGCCGTAACAATGACAATGTATGGACCGGATTCAGGGGGGAATAAGTACGGGTAAAATCCTTCACCGTAATCCTCCCCAAAGGGGTTATTTTTGGCTTTGGCAGACCTATCCTCGCTAAACAAACAACGTAACTTGTTAGTGTTATGCTTGCTGTTTGGGGTTACTTAATATAAGTGAAAATAATCAGATGAGATTTGTTAATTACGGATCAGTAAGAATGTAAAGGTCTCGTTTTTCCACTTTGAACCAACACTCTCTAGATCACCTATTCCACATAAGCATCCGACCACATCTACAAGTTCAATAAGGAGAATATTAAGTACATACGGGGATGAATGTGCGTTAGATAATTGAAGTGTAAAAGTTTACCTGATAGGTAGGTGTTGTTATTGACCCTTGAGCGAACAATGTTTGGCCGAATAAACTGGAAGCCATTTTTAGGGATATTAACAGTATCATCCTTATTTTTTGTATGGCAGTTATCCGTAGAAAAGTGATTTTAACATCAGATTGTACGAGTCTGTATTCACCCATACTTTTAGCAACCTTAAAGTTCCTGATAATTATCACAGAGCCTTCGGCTAAATTAGTACGAAACCGGTTGACTTGATTCTTCCAGATTACCGCATGTACCAAAGTTCCCTGTTACATGTCAGTTGGTAAGTGCATTCGCAATAACCTGACCAACAACAATGTGGTTAAAAGTTGAAATGAAAGGGGTATTACCTTTTCGTCAATAAGAATCATGTCTAGACTTATCATCTCATTGCTTCTCTTGTAGTTTTAAATTCCCACATCCGGCAAACTCGTACCTTAACCAACCAGTCATCCCTTGTAGTATCCAAATCTGAAAGATGTGACTAGGCCATATGGTTGTAACAATTAAAGGTTAGAGGAAGAAGAATTGTGTGCTTTTAAAGGAAGGAAGAGAGGGGTTATCGTTAATGGGTGTCTAGAAGTCTGCAAGGCATTATATAGACATTGAGGGAATTCGAAAGAGGGTTGCAACCATTAGGAAGAGACGCATTGTTTTGGAAGTACATTTACGAAGAGGCGCAATTTGGAACTACCGTTAGGCCCAGAAGTCGTGTTTAGCAAGATATGGTAGGAAGTGACGCATTCTTTGAGAAGTGCTATTTTTTTATCACAATCCGTGGAGTCGTGTATGTAGTATTAAATAGGCTAGTTGCAGGTTTATTTAGTGGGTTGGAATTTCATTCCATATTGGGCTTTAATAGCCCTGAGTTTGATCAAATAATTAAGCGAATCAAACTAAGGCCGCCTAGTCGTAGATATGCTATGTTCTTGACTTAAAAAGAGACTTGTGAGGTATACATAGAAGACTGAAGGCATAGGCCTTTGCATTAATTGGACTTAGGGGGTAAAAACATGTTTATTTGTTAACGTTTTATTATCTCGTTCCCTTTTAAAATACATCCAATCACAGGTAGAGGGAGGGTAAACTGGATGATACCAAAATTGTCCATGAAATTGTCTTGCCTCTTAACTGAATAGCCAGCGGCAACAGTTGGGGAAAAAAAAATTCACTACTATGATTTACTATGATGGATTAATTCTCTATAGTTTATTGGTTTAACCTCAAACCAGATAAAAATGAAGTTTTAAATCTGGGATTTAGTGTGAAAACTTTGTTTTTTAATACTTTATTTTGTTTGAAATCTTTAAATTAATGAACTTTGATTATATACACATTTTATAAATGCGGAAGATCTTGTTTAAAGTTGGAGTCGCCCAGGTAACCTTTTGTAAGCATGCAATTTGTAATTGCAATTGTAGAGAGTTTTAAGATGCGGTAACAAATTGTATTTTTGGGAGACAAACATGGACTTTCACAGGCCAACGTAAAGTCAAGGTTGACTGGTAACGTCATCAGTTTTGCTGGATTTCGAGATTGGAAGATATCTGTATCGACGTTTCATAAACATATTTTAAAGCCATTTAGCGTTGAATTTGAAAATAATAAATATTAGATTAAATAATTAGCCAACTGTAGTCCGATAAAATTATGAGGGATACAAGTTCGTTACCTAATAAAGATATGGGTATTATAACAGTCATAACAATTATGCAAGTTTCATGAGGGAAATAAAATGAAACACGATAGTGGTTGTTCTTCGATATAAGGTTTGAGTGTATATAGCGTGTCAAATGACCATTTAGTCTGCTTGTACTGGTAAAATGTTGTTAATGAAGGTATCTGATAAGTTTTCAGATAAAGAAGCATCCTCATCCTTGTTAAGGTTACTCTTTTCCCTCTCTTCAGTTTCTATTGACTTGAAGAAATCAGGAGGTGCATTATTCGTTCTTTCATCACCAGGGTTGAGATCGGTAAGGCTTTCGATAGATATCTCCCCATTCTTTCCAATCACACCCTCAGATGAAGTCTTTCTTTTTTTCCTATCAGTTGACTGCTTGTTAGTTTGTGCTTGGGTGCTGTTACTTGCCTTTACTTTCATTATATATGTCAAATCAAGAGCCTACACTGCCACCATTTTGTTTCTCCAAATGGAGACATTTAATTCACATCAGAATAAAGTTGATGCGGAACAAATAATTTTGTGAAAGTTGTGAGAAGAAGTCATGCATAAACAAAATGCACAGAGGAGCATACTTCCACAATAATGTCCATGCTAAGCAATTTCGGGGGTACGGGTGAAGAATTGGAAGGTAAAGGGTAGCAATGTGATGGCGTAAATGTCAAAGAACTTATTTAAAGACAAATTTCCCTATGTAGCCTAGTATGCGCTTAGAAATTTGTAGACGCAGTTGTAGAAAATTTTTTAATCCGACAAAGTTTGGAATGTTACGCGCACTAATGGGCACTTTGAAATGATCACGACAACAAAAAGTAGAATGGTATCAAAGGATGATTCGTCAACGTATTCTATAGATGGTTAGCGTTGACATTTACATCAAATAATACTTCATTTAATAAATTGGGCTACATATTCTGATAAAATGATGTTGGAGGAAGTACACAAGTTTGTGACATAAATTAAATTAGCATGTAAGCAGCTTTTATGACAGTGTGTTCTGGTAAAATGAGGTTAAGGAACAAAAGATTTACTTAAGGATATATATCATTAAAAGCCAAGTTGTAACATAATACAAAGATAATAGGAAGTGAGTTGTTCAAAATAAATTGGCATTGCCACCACACTTCCAATGTTAACCAAGTTAGGGGGTTAGGGCAAGTTTGGGAAGTAATAGGGCAACAAAGTTATAAGGTAAAAAGGAGATAAGAATGTATTAAAACATAAGGCATTGGTTCCACAACCATTGTTAATTAGCTCCTGATGGTTCTTCCAGGTTTGTGGAATGAATGAAGGCCCTTATGTGGGCGTGTTGTCTCCGCAGGTAGTTGATTCTCAATTTTGCTAGGTGCGCGTCCTCATCTCCATATCATATAGTTGGAGCTCTGGAAAAAAGAAACATAAATCTAAACCTCCGTTTGGGTAATGATCGGGAATAACCATAAAATCGAAGCAAGAAAGAACCCCTGCCCATGAATCTGCTAGCTTACATCTTTAGCTATATTACACACTGTTACAAATGAAGACACCGGATGTTCGTCATTCATCCACCCCGTCAAGTTGACAGAAGAAAGCAGCAGAAGCCATTAAAGGAGAACAATTACGCTTCAGTTATGACATCTGCATCTATGCCTGGGGGAGACCGTGGGGGAACAGCTTCGTCATGAATTTCAAAGAGGGAACCACTTTCCGCTAAAATCTCCTGGCAGCTTGAGAATGTTGATTTCTACCAATCTTTCTTGAAGGAAGTGACTCCGAGGCAGCAGCCTTTGAGGAACTGTTATTTTCAAAGGATGCTAAGAATTTGTCCTTTGATAGAGATTTTTGAGAAGATAAAAACAATAGAACTGAAAACACCACTCTCCCTCAAACCTTGGACAATAACTTGCACATACAAAATAGAAAAGAATGAATAAACACGCCTATCATTGGACTGAGTTGTAAAGATGTTTCTGACGTTTTAAGGAAACACACAGATCAGGATCATCTCAAGAGAACAAAGTGCAGGCATTGTCTTACTGGAATACAGACAAACAGATTGCTGGAGAAGATGATGGAAGGATCTACGTTTCCCTAACACTAACTCCATATTCAGGGACTCCAAAGTTGCCATTTCATGGCTGCATTTGACTTGTCATGGCCAGGGTTAGATTTGAAGGAGTGGATGTAGTTCTTTCAGCTTTCGTTATTTGCCTGCGTATGTATAGATTTGAGAAACTGCTTTACGATTTAAGGGGTGAATTAAATTCAGGGAAGGGTGTGAGGGTGAGAAATCCAATGAATGATGCAAGGGCTAAACTTATGTATGTATACCTGGAGTGGCCGAGGTTTTTTGTATGTGCCGTTGGGTCCATACCAGACAGTTGATTTGCATTAATAGCGGGCGTCCTGGTGATAGACAAACTGGATGAAATAGGGGATGAAAATAGGAGATACACAAGTACCCACCATTATACAGAGTAACGATAGCACAGGTGTAACGGGTGGGTGGAAAATGTATGAATGTATACCTGTATTGGGTGGGGGTTTGTTTTAAATCCTTTGTGTCCATAGAAGCAGCGTGTACATTTGCGTCTAGGTAAGCAGTCCTGGGAGGAGAAAAAGTAGAATAGTACAGGAGTTTGCTTATTAAAAAATCAAGGCAAAAAAAATAATGAAACGTAATTTGTTACAAAGTTGATTACAATAAAATAGGGGATGAAAATATAAAACGCTCGAGGAGGCACAAGTGTACAGAGTAACGCTAACACACGTGTAACGGGTGAGTCGAAAATGGATGAGTGTGTACCTGGATTGGGCGGGGGTTTGTTGTAAATCCTTTGGGTCCTTAGAAGCAGCCAGTACATTTGCGTCCATATAAGCAGTCCTGGTAGGAGAAAAAATTAGAAATGTACGGGAGTTTGCACTATCAAAACTTCCAGGTCATCTAGTTTTGCAACAAAGAAATGAACATTATATACAAAAATCAAAGATTAAACAACATGACTTTATAAGAACCAATGTGTATAAACTATATATGAAGTTTAAATTCTGCCTAATAAAGGGCATGGCATCTTCAAGAGGGCAACTAAATATAGACAATTACATAGCCTTTTGCCTAACATACCAGGTCATCTAGTTTTGCAACAACAAAATGAACATTATATAAAAAATCAAAGCTTAAACAACATGAATTTATAAGAATTAATGTGTATAAACTCTATATGCAGTTCAAATTCTGCCCAATAAAGGGCATGACATCTTCAAAAGGCAACTAAATATATATAGTTACTACACTATTGAAGACATAGTCTTTTGCCTAACATACCAGGTCATCTAAGTTTTGCAACAAAGAAATGAACATTATATACAAAAATCAAAGCTTCAACAACATGACTTTATAAGAACCAATGTGTATAAATTCTATATTCACTGCAACCATGTAAGAACCATTTGCTTTGTAGTAATAGCAAGAAACATAACTATCAATCCCGAAAAGAGGGTAAGAAAGAGATGCCTAAATATAGCGCAAAACAGGGAGTGTTTGGCCATAACATTTTATCTACGTTTTTCAGTTTGACCATCGAAAATTCCAAATACAACTAAAAACAACCAAAACCCTGTTTTCACTATTTACACATAAAAAGAACCTAATATTAGTTGCAAAAACTATAATCGAACAGAATTCCAAAAACAACCCAATGTAATCCCAGTAGTGGATTTGGGGAGGGTAAGTTTACGCAGACCTTAATCCTACTAAACAAAATGACTCCTCGGCAGTATATGTCATTATTTT